CTGGAAGTAAGTATTGCCATATTCCAACCATGACAATTTATGCTTACGAGCACACAAACACATAGATATCTTATTTTTATTTCATGTCGTAACAGTTCTGCTTCAAATGGTCTGCATGAACCAATTTATTTGTTTGGACCTAATCATTGCCGTATGCAACCTGTCAGTGCATAACTATTAACTACACATTAGCTGCTACGTGCTAGTTAAAGAAACATTAATGGATGATGTGATAATTTAGAACCAAGGAGAAGATGGAGAAAAAATGACACCGATGAGACCTAAGTAGTCAGAGATGCCTCATTCCACATTGAACAGTAGGTAGTATGGGCTATTTTATGGAGTAATTTAAGTGTGTTGGTTCCCTCTACTAAATAGTTAACTTCTATGGGAGGGTTCATTGCCTCTTTTGGGTGCCTGTCATTGATATCAGAGTTGGTGGCACTTGGCTTTGGAAAGGGCTACTTGTGGAGGGTTTTGATTGGCAAGGAACTCACGTGAAGTGTCAAAGAGACCAATCTATTCAAGGATAGCAAATTGGCGGAGACCTTGACAATATAGGGTGCTTAGTGGCACTTTAAGTAGTGTGAATTGTTTTATGGGAAATTATGTGGTTAATTGGTTCTTCCACCTCTGTAGTTAGCTCTTGGGAAACAGTTCTCCAACCCTCTTTGGGTGCTCAACTTCCCATCATATACCACAGTTACATATGACATCTTGTTAGTTTAAGATCTACATCAACTGGTGCGTTACTTTTTTTTTTTTTTGGCCACATGCTGGTGCATATAATTTGATCAAGTTTTTTTTTAGGAAAAACATAACTTTGAGTCATTGCACTTTGCTTATATTTTGCTATTGGTGCCCGCACTTTTTTTTCCGGTTTTTAGGTCCCTATGTTTTTTATTTTTGTGTTTTAGGTCCCTCCAAGGTCTCTATACTTTATTCATGAAGGAACCTAAATCATTGAAAGACAAAAGTATAGGGACTTAAAACACTGAAAAAAAAGTGTAAGGACTAATAGCAAAACCAAGCAGTGTAGGGATCTAAAATTATGTTTTTTCTTTTTTGTTTCATTGTTGAAAAGTATAAAATTTGTTTTCCATTTCCACCCTTCTGTAATGGTTTTATCCGATACATTTTTCAGACCAAGTGTCTACTTGACCAAAGTAAGTAGCCAAACAAATTCTCTGGTCCTGTTCTGTTGGTAATTTGATAAGGTTAGTTTCTGTAGATCTTTTCATCTAATAAACTATCATATTTGGTAAATAAGATGATTTTTTAAAGGCTCATTTTCTAATTTTGCACGTTTTATTCCTTCCTTTTGTTTATGCTTTTCTTTTTCTCCATGCAGTGTCAACTTCACTTGATATAGACAAATTCACTAAGCAATCAGAGTCCCAAGTGTTGCAGTTGCAGAAGGTCCAACCATCAAATTTGGTAATCATATCAGGTGGTAATACAGAAAACCAGGAAGAGTCTGCCATGGCTGATGTTAGTCCCAGGACAGATATTTCTACAGATGCTGATACTGATGAAAAGAATCGGCGGTTGATGTTTTGCTACCTTTCTGGATATGCTGTCTCCCATTTTCTATTTTATTGACGATTCTCACGTCAATATCCCCTATTTGTACACTAATAATTTATAAACATCTATTGATTGTAAAATGATAGAGTTAGATTGTGTTATTGATCTAAATCAAAATATTATACAAACTTAGTGCATGAGCAGAAGCCTTCCTTTTTTGTTTCTGTTCGTTAGAAAGTTGAAGTTATGCTGGTTGAAAATACATGACAATTGGACATTGCGTGAATGCCATCTGTGCAGTTTGATAGAAGTCTCTCCAATGCTGCTGTTGCTTCTGATTCCAGTGACAGATCAAAGGATAAGTTGGACCAGAAGGTTATATTTTCTTCTTTTTGTCACATGGATAATACCTGAGGTTTTAATGGCAAACATTACATGTTGATTTTTTTATTAAATTTTTGCAGACTCTCCGCAGGCTTGCTCAGAATCGGGAGGCTGCGAGAAAAAGCCGGTTGAGAAAGAAAGTAGGAAATATATATTTACTGTGGTTTTCATTTTCTTTATTTATTTTATTAGGGATGCATCTTGTAATTTTTCACTCTACCATATATTTATTGAAGATATCATTTTGTTAAACTCTTATCCAGTACAATTCTGACCACTGTCCACTGACAATGGAAAACAAGATTTAGGTGATCTTGACGTAGATATGATGTGATGACTCTTATGCTACCGAGGCGAATTTCAGTTTAATTATGACTAAGGAACATTGATTGATTTCAGAATTTAATACCTAGTTCTCATCCAAAGAACGTAATACTAAATGTGAGTCTAAATACTTTCTCCTCCTCTTGTTTTTTGGTTTGGTGACAAGGATGAAGATGAACAAACTTGGAATGGTATAAGGGTATTTTAGTATTTGCATTCATCCTGTTTAAATCCTTTGAGCATGTACGTAAGTACATCTGACCCAACCACTGATTATGGCTTCTCAAATTCTCTCTTGCTTGTCCAGAATATAACTTGATTCTCTTGAATTTTTTATTTATTTCTAAGAAATTAGTTTCCTTCAGAGATTGCATGAACTGAAGTTAAAGAGCTTATGTATTATATGTGTGGCTGCTTTGGGTGATCAAAGCAATAACATATCTAACTCGGCCTTTTCCCCTTCAGACCTTTATGGATTTTCCGTTTCTTAGAGTGACACAGTTTTTAAGGGTCTCATGTATGTGACAACAATAGCCATGAATATATTTTCTCCCTACTCAGTGTTTTCAATCCAGGAAGACTACTGCATCACCAGTCGGCACAGTACAGTTCTTCTCTGAAATGATTTATTGCATACTTTTAATGGCTTTAATTTCAGTAAAGCCCCCCTCCAAAAAAAAAAAAAAAACCTCCCATGTGATTGTCTATGCAAAATGAATCTTAAATGGACTTGATATAGTGGCAAATGTGCATGAGTTGCAATGGTAGCCCTGCTATATTTAGATTCCTTGACTTCTGGTAGTTGCAAGAACTAGTTTCCTATAATTCAAGCCTTGATGTCATTTTCTTATATTTGTATCCGTGTGGTTTTTTTTTTTTTTTTTCCCTGTACAGGCTTATGTCCAGCAGTTAGAAAGTAGTCGGTTGAAGTTGACCCAACTAGAGCAAGAGCTTCAGCGAGCTAGACAGCAGGTGTAGTTTAACTATTCCTTGCTTTTGAATTACCTCAATGCTCAATAGACTTCCCTTCTCATTCTCCCCCACCCCCTATTAATTGTTAGCCATGTTTCTTTCCCATTTATGTATATTTTAAACTAAATCTCTGTTTATATTATCTTGCAGGGAATCTTCATATCAAGCTCAGGCGACCAGGCACATTCAATGGGTGGAAATGGTATCCTGCTTTCTTTTAACATATTTTTGCCTCAAATTTGAATGTGAAAATATTTATAAAGAAATTGTAGCTTGTTTTGTTTGTTTGTGGAGGTCATCTATAACTTCAATTACATTTTTTTATAGGGGCAATGGCATTTGATGTAGAATATTCTAGGTGGCTAGAAGAGCAGAATCGACAAATTAATGAACTAAGAGCAGCTGTAAACTCCCATGCTAGTGATACAGAACTTCGCATGATTATTGATGGTATATTGGCACATTATGATGAGATTTTTAAGCTGAAGAGCTCTGCTGCTAAGAATGATGTTTTCCATTTGTTGTCTGGCATGTGGAAAACACCTGCTGAGAGATGTTTTCTATGGCTTGGGGGTTTTCGGTCATCAGAACTCCTCAAGGTGAGCATATTTTGACTGTACATCATATGGTTAAAAGAAAGATATAAAGGTTTTCCTGATCAGTAATTTAACCTAGTAAAAAAGATTAGAGCTCTCTTTTAGGTCCTTCGGATCATCACAAGGTTGAAGGAAGTTGAAACTTACAAAGGTTAACATTTGCCTACTACAATCTTATAATCGAAATTTTATTGTAAATTAAATTATACACTTCTCTCTGCTTGCTCGATACCTGTATTTCCTCTCAATAAGCCCATCTCAAATCTAGAACCATTCTAAGGTCAAGTCTTTTATTTAGACAGAAGCATCCAATAAGATTAATACATGTTGTCGATTAACTCGTACACATATCTCTTGATATGAGCAATATGCCTAGATCCAGTTCAGAAATAATAGCCCAGCTACTTTTGCTTTGTTTGGCAGCTATTTTCCTTTCGTAAAACCTGTCTGTAACTCTTGACGGTCATTAAAGGAATAGTTTTTATGATTGGATATTAAAATTTTCACAAGAATATGGACATAATCTTTTGGCAATGTGCACTTAAAAGACTTGTTGCCCCTGTATTGTTATGGGAAGAAATTTTTGCATGGACCTGATGTACCACGTTATTTATATACTATCTAATAAAAACATGTTATGTCAGATGATTGTAAATATAAAATGATTCTGCCATTAATAATAGCAGAGAGAGAAAAAGCAAGAAATTAAAGAGGCACTTTATTCTAAAAATAACATTATTAAAAATAATTACATATGAGACTTTATTTGATTAAATTGTTGCAATCTTATTAGATAGAGCATGGATGACTTAGTCCACTGGGTCTACGCAAGAGTTTCTCTTGTTGTGGGATGGATGTGTCTATGGCTTTTTATTGATGTTCTAAACATGCTGTCTTTATATGTTAATACACGTTTGTCCCAATTGTTACTGAGACAGTTTTTTACCCAAGATCTTGATCATTCTGGAATTTCATTGACTTTGATTTGAGGGCTATAATATTGGTTTCAGCTTTTGGTAAATCAACTGGAACCTCTTACCGAGCAGCAGTTGGTCGGTATTACAAACCTGCAGCAATCGTCTCAACAGGCGGAAGATGCATTATCTCAGGGTATGGAAGCACTGCAGCAGTCTTTAGCTGAAACACTGTCCAGTGGATCCCTTGGTTCATCTGGTTCATCAGGGAATGTGGCAAATTACATGGGTCAAATGGCTATGGCCATGGGTAAGCTAGGAACCCTTGAGGGCTTTATTAGACAGGTAAATTTTTCTTTCTTGCACCTGTATTCACACTGTTCATCTTTTTCATAAGCAGTTTCTAACTTCTAGTCAAACCATTCCATAGCTTTTTAATAGTAACAATTGCATTTGATAAAATCAATGAAAATAACTTTTTGGTGTTTGATATCAAGTTTTTTTCATAGTATTATGAAACATGGAAAGACCTTTTTTTTAATTAGGAAACAGTGTTTCACCGGTCATGATTTTGTTAGAAAACTTGATTGTAATAACAAAAGAATTTGATTCAATTTTGTCCTAAAATCAATTGCTTCGGGCAAATGGAAATGTTATCTTTCTCTTAGATTTATTTTGGGGGGAAGTGGTTGCTGGGGAAATAGATTTTCGAGTTGTTAACTGTAAGACATGTCCATCTCTGTTTTCTGACACGTTGAAGATTAAACGCAGACATCTTACGACATATTACCCTTTGTGTAAGAATCTCTAGTGTTATTAATTGTGAAACTCTTGTATAATTTAGAGAAGCAGAAACACTAGAATGAAATAATGCCTCGGCTCCCTTTCTCCATTTTCTCTCTCTCAATTCTCTCCCTGGTTTCTTTTATCTTTTCTCTCTCTGAGCTTTACAATAAAAAGCTCTAGAGATCTAGACTCTTTCTCTTGACCTAATGTAGTATGTTGCTTATTATTTCTATATGAACTTGTTTCAATGTAGCCTCAAATCTGTTACTTTTGTCGCTGGTTAAAGAAATGTGCACCCCAGCCCCCTTTTCCTTTCCTTTTTAGTTATTCAAATTTTACCTATTTCTCTTCCACCCATTGAGATGCTGGTGAGGAGGGTGAAACTGACAATTTTGAATTCTGTGAAAAGGGTTAGAAGAAAAACCAAAGAGAGCATTCAATGAAGTTATTGCAAGAGATATTATGATTAACGATGTATCCAAAGATTTGGCTGTTGATAAAGCATGATGGCATTGTTCAATCTATATAGCCAAACTTACCTAGCGGGATAAAATTATTCAGTCCTTTCATCACCCTCTTAGGTTAGATAATGGTTTTATCTAGCATTGCAAGTGAACATGAGATAACTATTGGATGAATTGTTGTCTCCACTAACCAACCTGTATTAGCTTGTAACAGTTAATGGCAGTTTCTAATCATCCTATCTTCTCTTTTTGTTCGCAGTACCTTCTTTCTTCTTTCTTCTTTCTTCTATCACATAGGTAGTATAAAACATTAAATTTAACCTACAAATGGCAGAAGAGCTTTTTCTTCCCTCTGGACATGGCACAAAAGTTTATTACTGTAGGTGCATTCAATTGACTAAAAGATGATTGAGAGACCATATTACATATTATTCCACATTATTTCTAGAAAATACTTCATAGAATACTTTATGGTGGTTCTGTTAGGCTGACAATCTGAGGCAGCAGACACTGCAACAAATGCATCGAATATTGACAACTCGCCAGTCGGCTCGTGCGCTGCTCGCTATCCATGATTACTTCTCTCGGCTGCGTGCTCTCAGTTCTCTCTGGCTGGCTCGCCCAAGAGATTGATGGGATTGCAACCAAGATATCCAAAAGTTGCTTTTCATGGATGAGGCAGTCCCAATCAACACTTACATCATCATCATCATCATCATCATAGGCATTTTACTCTTGCTAGATTTTCTGTCACTTTCTTTATGTATTCTAATGGTTGTGATCATAGTTTTAACACCTACAGGTTTTCTTGTGTTGTCTGTGTTTGACTGATTTTTTGTTTCACAAAATCATGTTGTCTAGAAATGAAAGTGTTAACCACCATATGTATTTGGTTCACTGTTACTAATAATATTGATAAGAAGCAGTGCGCTTGTAACTGATGGCCTTTTTTCTCCTGTATAAAAAATGGTAGAACATTTTTTTAAGTGATAAAAATGTTCAAGATATAGTCAGGAATAGATGAGAACACCTTTCCTAATAAGAATTTGAATATTAAGTTACTATATTGTGAAAGACTAGTCTTTTTTATTAGATTCAATTTCTGTGAATAAATTGAATGAGGAATCTATCTTATAATGTATTGATAGAAGTTACATCTCAAAATAAAATTTTAAAATACAAAGAAATGGCACTCTAGTCCTTTTTCACTTATTTTAGGTTATATTTGATAAAAATTTTCAAAATCAAATAATTTACATGTACAACAAATATTATTCCTAGTGAAGATAGATTCCGGGATAAATTACAATAAAATTGATTCAGTTGATATATTAAACTTTATTGTTCATATATTTTCTCATTGGCACTTAAAATTCTCACAAAAATTTAACTTGCCAAAAAAACAGAGAAAAAATATAACTTTATGTCAATTATTGATTTAGAACAAATCAATTTTTATAATTTATTACATTAAAGAATTATAAAAATTGAATTATTTCAAGTCAAAATTTAAAAATTAAATAAATAATTAAGAAAAAAGGTTTAGAAATCAAAAGTTACATTTTTTGAAAAAAAAGGTATAATATTAAGGAATAAAAATTTTTTTATTTCACAATCCAATTTAACGCTACACCACTAACGCATGAAAGTGAAATCCGGCATCTTTAAGAATTGAGTGATCAGCAACAATCACTCCATCCCAATGTGCACAGACATGAGAGTGAGTTTGAACTACATTCTCTAACCCTCTTTTGCCCGTAATCAATCATTCAGATCACTAAAAGGCACATTATGAAGGATCTTTAATTCCAAGGGCATGTTTTCTTGATGTTGCTTTTGCTTCTACTCAAATGGGTCTTGTTAACATAAATGGCCTATTAGCTTAAAAGCGTCAAGACACCTTCAAATGGAAAAGGTCACAAGTTTGAACCAAGTAAGATTGAAGTAAATAGTGGTAGGTGCGTGTATATATGCATTCTTAGTGTGAGTGATTAAACAAATGAATGAATGAATGGTCTGGTCAACACCTTTAGAAAATCTGCCATTTAACGATTACTTTCTTCCCCTTGTTGCATGGGCCTGTTTCCCTTCTGTTTTCAATAGACTAAACTGTAATCTGAAATGAAACCACACTATTTATAACTTGTACATAATTTATAAATAGTATGACTCGCTTCAAGGATACATGCAAATGTTACATTACCATGTCCCCTGAAAATCTAGTAGGCCCTTGGCCATTGTTGTATGCTAAAATCACAGGAAAGTCAAAAATCATTATCCTTTATTCTTTTACATATTAAGCCAATACACTATTAAGGAACAACTTCTACCTTCTGCATAGTGGTAGATACATGTGTACTAGCATTAACAAAACAGTCAATAAAAAACAACAGTTAAATCTGAAACAAAGTGACATCATCTAATTTTTTCTTTTTTCTTTTTTTTTAATCCAACAGCGGCACAAATCAGTTCCAGATGATTCTTTATTTGAGCAAATGGAAGATACCAGACCAAACTTCAAAAGTAATTGCTCTTGTAGAAATTTTTCAAAAAGGGAGAGATTCCCTGGTCTTTTACGCCCGAATCCTGCACAAGCCCTTGTTTACCTACCACGTACTGACCAATGATATGATGCCTCTGCTTTGCATGATCCACAATGTCCTTCAACTCTTCCATTGCCTTGAAGACCATCATATCAATCACCTGAAAGTCAACAATTATCAGCAAACAGCAATGATGAAAGGGGCAACAAAATCTTGTTCCATAGCTAAATTTCTTATGTCTCTACCAAAGCATCATATTAATTCGAGGTCCTTCAATTATCACTGGCCTTGACTAGCCAATTCCATGATAGAAGAACCATGGTTGAAGGAATATTATATATGCAAACACAACGCATTGTTTCTTATACATAGCATGGGAAAACAGAATGAATCGTGAACTATTCATCTCTGAATTTTGCCACTGGAAGGGATCCAGCCGAATAAAGGAAGGGAGCAGACAAATTTTCAAATAACACAAGGTAGTAGCTTGGAAATTCTAGCAAAACAAGACGGACAAATAACTACAATAGGTATCATCACCAGAGAGATGATAAGTCCAAACACACAACATGCTTGAATTGGAAATTTGGTCAAGGGTACCAAACGTGATAATGATTTGTTGTAGATTTCAATGAGCTCAGTTCATCAGGCTTTCTAAGGATTTTACCTCCAAAAATGCCAAAAATTTGAAAAATTAAACGTGATAGATTACTTTCAGAAAATCTTAGAATCTTGAACCTAACACAAACATGTAACCTACTCTCATCTTTAGCTAAATCTAAGCTTATTTGAAAATAAAATTATTCAGTAACCTTATTATGTCCATTGCTGACGATGGACCTTTAAAAAATGATTCCGATGAAAAGCCCCTAGACACGTAATGTATACAAGAACCCATTTAAGGATCTGAAGAATAGCATGTGAATAAAGAAAATAGCTGACACTCAAACATGTAGAAACCAAATTCACCACAACATAAATGTCAGAAAAAAGGCGAAGAAGGGATATGAATGCCTTTGGTGCACCTAAAGTTAATCTAGATCGAAGCATTGAGAAATAAGAGAAGAATTCAAGAGGCTGAAAGAAATTTTGTTATAATTTGTATGTTATTTTGAGATAATATTGGATAGGGCTGTGCAAAAGCCCTCTAGTCCTGCTCAACCCAGTCTGATCCAAGAAGGTCAGTCTTGTCTGGTCCTGTTAAAAACTAGTCCTTTAGGACTAAAAAGACTAAAAAGACCAGATTGTTTTTTCAGGTTGGACTAGATTAGAGACTAAGCATTTGGATCACTTAGTCCAGTCTGGTCCTATTAAATTTATCTAATATGATTATAATTAATTTACTAATTATTCATAATAACATGCTAAGACTATTAATAATTTAACAAGTCTGGTTCCTCGCACAGTCGCTCAAACTAATAATTTAATAATTTGGACCACTTAGATTGTAATTAAAATTTTTTTCTTCTTGTTGGAAATTATTATGAATTTATTATGATTATAAGTATTTTTATTATCTTAATTGAGTTTATTAAGTTTAAATGAATTATTGTCTCTCATAAAGAAAAAAGGAAAAAAAGTTTAGTGAGTACTGGATTAACAAGAAGAATCTTCCAGTTCTATAGACCAAGTCCAATCCTGTTAATCTTCAGGTTATTACTGGACCAAATCGGATTACGGGTTGTTTAACCTAGTCCTTTTCATGAAAGAGAATATACTTCGAGTTAGGCTGAAGTCCAGTCCCGTTCAGTCTTTTGTACAGCCCCAATATTGGGATATCTACCCACATGTGTCACTGTAAGAAACTCTTCTGTGAGCATTAAATTCTGTGAGAGTATTGCAAAGTTCTTGTACGAAAAACTTGGATGCAAGTTTTGTTGCTAGAAAGAAACCTAGTCATTGAGTTGTTAAAATATGTGAAGATTTTCTTCATATATGTTTGGTAACTAGTGGTGTAGCCTTCCATTTGCTAGGTTCTTTGGCAGAAAAACCTAGTAGATCGGCTACTAAAAGCTGAGATAGCTATCCTTGGTAAACCTGAAAAAAATATGTGTGGCCTTTCTTCCATAATTTTCCCGGGCTCACAGCTTAAGCTTTGACTAAAAAAGTTTCTTGAGGTAGTATCAAAGCCTCAATGACCAAATGGTCAAGTGTTTGATCCATACCACACTCCAATCCTTTTAATTAAAATTAAGTTTCATCACAAGGCATGATGGGACATTTCCTTGTCTATACTTAAAGTTAATTGGGTTTTCATGAGTAGATGCATCCTAGAGATTATAATAAAACTATTAATAGGCCTTCACTTTCCAGATCAAGCTTTGAGTTGAAATGGGCTTTTAACTTTGTGAATTCTCTAATGTTTTAGACCATTTATAGGCTTAAGAAACAAATCCTTTCTTTCCCAAATAAGCCTGACATAATTTTAGCAAAATGAATCCTGCAGAAAATGAACTAGGCTCAAGATTAGAAGCTATTGCACAAAAAGGTAAAGATCACCGTAGCAAAAAGCATAATTAACTCATCGAAACAGATAATAAACATTCTTTTAACATTTGAAAACTTTAGAAAACAGTATTCAACATTCTTACCTTTTTCTAAGAAGGCAACCTTATGTTTGAAAGCAAACAAAAAGATTTGAAGACAATGTAGACACTGAGATTTATTTGTACTTCCGTTAAAAAAAAAAATATTACTATGCGGTCATAATGTAAACTTCCACAAGGATTAAACAGTATATGAAGACAATCAACCACAGAAACAGTTGAAATGAAACAATATTATTAGATTCAGTGCCTTTCAGTCCAAGTGAATCCCCACCAGTAAATCAATAACGAAGAAGGGAATAAGTTCCAGAAACCACAGTAAGCCTATGACCCCTTGTTCAAAGAGAAACGATTGTGCAACAGTTTTGCTATATGATTCTATAAGAAACATCCTCATCTCGATATACTATTCCGATACAAACCTTTCCGAGCGCTAACTACTCTAACCATCTCATAATTTTTTATCATTTAGCTCTAAACATGTTAATATAGCCAAGAAAATTCTTCCTCGTAAATAATCCTTACAAAATTAATATATCCAAGCACGAATAACAATTGTTTAAATATGAATTTACAAAACATCCGAAACCTGCCAAGTTGCTAATTTTCAATCGCAGTTCGTAAAGCAAAGGTAAAAAGCTTTACCCCGGAAAACCCAGAAAGAAGAATCCCGAGTAGTTGGAGGGAAGGAGGAATGCGGCGAAAACCCTTAATCGATGAAAAAACCGAAAGAGAGAGATTAACCTTAGGATTGGTAATGTGGGAATTCTTGCGGATCTCGGAAGCAACAGTGGAGCGGAGCTGAGAGGGAGAGACGGCTTCGTTGAGGTTGTAGACTTCCATGATGGTGGGGATTGATCTGCAGGCAGTCCTGAAGAAATCGAAGACTCGGTTCCTTGCCTCCTCCAGATTCACCGAATTCGGAGGAACCTTCACACTCTTCAGCACATTTGCCATTGTAGTTCCCTAGTCCTCAGACAGCAACTCTACGAAACTCAACTCCGAATAGAGGTTTTCAGAAGCTGATGATTCGGCAGAGCACAGGCTAGCCTGATCTGGTAGTCCCAACCACTATGAATCAACCTGAAGCTGTGGGAAGCACACGCCAGGCGACGTCGTTTTAGATTTGTGTTATTGTAGGAAAAAAGTTTACTAATAAATCAATAATGTCAAAAATTTAACCTTGGAATATCTTTTTTTTCCCCGGTTAGAAAGGAAAATATATTAACAAAAAAGGAGAGAAAAGTTTCCAATGTTGAAGATAAAGTAAAAGCATTGCAAGAAAAAAAATAAGCGAGAAAAGATAAGTCATGTAAATCATATTTTTGTATAATAAGCTATTGAAGTAATCCAAAAGCGTTGTGGGTTAAAGCAAAAGCAAACATCTTTGTTATATCTTATTTTCAAAGCTCAACTATTTCAAAATGATTCAAAGAGAAATTCTTTTATAAAATAAGTAAAGAAAGTCAGAAATAGATGTGAAGTATAATAACATCATATTTGTTGAAGAGTAATTAAATTAACTTTCAATATGTGCCTGAACCTCTTAACTGAGAGTATGAGCTTACTCTAAGACTAACAGATAAGCTTACTTTTAAGAGTAACAGATAAAAATTTCTTAAGTAGAAATGAGATCAATATTTTTTTTTTCCCTTGACTTTGAATGTTGTCCTCTCTACATGCACATTTGAGAAATATGACCAACTCATTGAAATCTTTAATACCATGTGCCACAAGAGTTACCTTTTTTGGATGTAGTAGATAAATGTATTTTAAAGTTTAAGTCTCTTGATTCTAGTATAGAACTTTTAAAGTTTGTAAGATCCATAATGTAAGACCATGGGTAAAAATGATCAAAGAGCACATAGAAGAGAGTCAAACCATATGGCCCTTGTATAAGGACAATCACAAAATGTATTGGGCAAAGTTTATTGTGTGTTACAACCATGGACACATTGAAATGTACGGCTAAGATTATACTTATTCAATACATTCATAGTAGATATTGCTTTCATTATTATTTATTTCATAGTTTATTATTCAAAAGTTAGAGATTATATTTTCTGATAATATGATTATAGTTATCAAATTTCTATTTATTGATTAATATATTTGAAAACGAGATATTAAATCCATGTCAATAGATGGTCAACAATCATATTACTTTTTATGTTTTGTGATTAGAAAATCAAAAGTCGTATAATTATATTTGTTTTCCCCCTTTAAAAAGTCGTATTACTTTTTATTTTTGTTAATAAATCATTTTTTTGATCTCAATAAATAATATCACTTTTTGTTCCAGGCACTTGGATCATATGGTAGGAATAAATATAATAAATTTTGAATGTCAACAATTTAATATCTCGTAATTAATATGGAAAAAGTTTTGATAGCTTCATTCTTTTGTACTTTTGCTTTGATATCTTAAATCTTTGACAATGACTAGTCCGGTCAATAGCTTGCCAGCAACTTCGATAGCTTCATAAAAATATGTTTTTGCCATAGTTTTGAACATGAATAGTTAATGAAATTTATGCCACTAGAAAACACACATACTTCATAAATATATATAGGTGTTTTTAATTAGGACAAATTATATCTAGATCTCACAGAAAAAAAATTATTATTAAAAAATTTTATAAAATTTATAAAATACTTATAAATCTCAAATTTTATGCATTTATAATAAAGTTAAAGGCATTTACAACTTATTATTTTAAATTATCATTTTCCTTTGCAAGTTGTAAATTTTCTTAGCCAAGTTGTAAACGAGCAAAATTTTAAATTTTGGAGTATTTTGTAAATTTTAGAGACTCTCTTAGTAATAAATTCTCAGATAAATTGGCAAATAAGATCTATTCTAATACAATTTTTTTATTAAAAATATATTTTTAGAATCTTTTTAGAACATATTTTAACGGTGTTAATAGTTTGGACTAAAATATATGTATTTTTTAAAAAAGAAGAGATGTCTATTTAATTAAAGTGAAATATAATGGTGATTAAAATATTTTACTCAGTAATAAATTTACTGATCGATACGTGAAATAAAATATGAATGATCATAGCATTTTTCTATATATGCGGACATGTACGTAGAGTCTTGATTTATGAATTTCATAAGAATAGGCTCATTAGGAGTAAATCCCTTTTTGTATATTTTGAATATTCTATTAATTTCTAGTTCTCACAAAACAGTTCCATAAGAATCAAGAATTGTATTGATGTATTGTGCGTGAAAATCTATTTCATTAATCTCACATAGATGCAACAATTGAAACATCTATTATCAATATCCATCTGATTTGGATGCAAAGCATCATAATATATATAACATGTGATTTTGATGGATGAATAATAAAAATCTCCATCGAATTATGTTATTCATTTATTACAAAATTAAGTACAACAGTCACAAAATATTATTGGTTATTTATAATTGGAACTTGTATTGAAGTCCCTCAATAATCCTTTTATATTATATACCATAAAAAGCCGGTAGAATCATAAATTCATGAAAATACTTAAATATAGAGATCAGACCAATGGGGATTGGTTTAGCGGAAGGAGATGGTCTTCATGTGGCAAATTAAAATTTAAATCATCATTAAAAGAGGTGCTCGCATTTAGTGCTGGTCCTATAAGCAATTAAAAAAAAAACACACACACACAAAGATTGGGAATGGAATGAAGTACTTCCCACGCTTGGAAGGATAGATGATGCAAGACATACTTTCTCTAGTCTTATTAATAGAGTAGAGAAAAAAAAATTTTGTCTTATGTATAAATTATGTTATTAAATTTTTATTTTAAATTTATCTTTTTACCCTCCATTGAATGTTGAATAGAGAAAATATATTATCAAAATATGTATATTTAATAAGGAAAAAGTTAAAAAATGTATTAAAATTTTAGATAGAATGATTTTTAAGATTTTCTTTAGTTTCTGCTAAATATATTAGAAGTAACTTATAAATAGAATCATATGAGTATACTCCTGATTCTATTTATAGGGTAGAGGGAAAGAGTATTTATTTTGATTTTATTTTTAGGGTACCTCAATTATTATTGTGCACTCTTTTATCCCTATTATATATACTAGGGGCAAAGCTAGAAACTTATTAAATTTTTAGACAAAGGTAATTAAGTTTAAATCTTTCTTAATTCTAGTAAAAATATTAAAAATGACTTATAAATAAAGTAAGAGGGTTGAATATTCTATCTAGTTGAGTTATGCTAATGTTATGTAGAAAAATCAGAAGTTAATTACCAAGGTTAGCTCTTCTTTTGTTATTCCCAGGTCAACAACAACAATAACAGCTAGTCTTATCTCACTAGATGGGGTTAATTATAAAGATTGTATGATTCTATTGTGTTTTATCATTTACAAGCTTTTAAAAATGTTATCAATTAAAAGGTATCAGTTAATAACTTTCATAAATGTTATCTTTGGCTTTTTTTTACCCCTTTTAACGGGGCTCAAAATTATTCATTTTACTCTTCTCATTTATGCCTCTCTTGAGGCTTTCTTTATACATATCTAAATTATTTTAAATGATTTTTTTTATCATTTTTTCCTCAACCTACGCTCACTTTTTCTCATATGTATTTATTTTAGATTTTATTTTTAAGTGTATGCTCATGCATTCGTCTCAACATTTCTTCTTCTACTAGCCCAACGTTATACTCTGGCTGTTCCATTAAAGCCTAATATTTACTCCCATATAACATAATTGGTCTTATAGCAATTGATAGAACTTTCCTCTAAGTTTATTAAGTATCTTATAATTACAAATAACTCTTTTAGCTTTTTTTTTCAATTAAACCACGCATTTTGTATCATATGTGCAATAGGTCTATCAATTTTCTCATTATGTTGAATAATAGCTCTTAAATATCTAAATTTTCTCATTACTATTGACTAACATTTTATCAAAATTATAATGTAAATATTTTATCTTACTCTTATTCATGTGAAAACTTTTGACTCCAATATTCTCCTCTATAACTTTAGAAAATATTTGGAAAAAAAAATTCCCAAAATTCAAAACTTTATTCGGCGTAGTCTCTCATAAAGCCATTGCCACAAATGAAACATTGGTTAAAAGACACAGGTGGTGTACATATGTTCTCATACTTGTCCTGTTTGTGATAATACAATTGAAATTACAGAACATGTAGGAAATAAGTGAAATAAACAAACAATTCAAGTTTGGGTCAGAAACATATCAGATCTGAACATGGAATAATCAACCCAATAACCCACATAAAAACAAGACTACTAGAGCCTTTATTTATGAGGTGTAGTAGATACTCAACTTCAATGTACCTTCATCCTTCACCCAGCTAGTTCTATTTATAATGTGGGTGACTGAGTTATACGAGATAAGTCTAATTTGTTAATAAGAAATATATAGAATATGATAAAATAAATCCCAATATAATATAATATCTTAATCCATAAGATATATATTGGATTTATTCGAGAATTAATGTGTTGTTTTATTCTTAAAATTTAATTTAAAGCAATCTCCAAATTCCAATTAAGGGAGGATATTCTAATAATCTAACAGAACATTGGTTCTTCTTGTGTTTGTGTTTGGTTTGGGTGTGGTTTAACACTAAAGAATGATGCTCTTAACGTCAATAACTTTGCTGAATGGTGGGTCTATTATTTCTTCTCATAATAGCTTGTTCACTGAGTATGACTTTTCCCTTATTAGCTGTTTGCCATTGCTGATTTGGAAAGCAAGGAGGGACGGCTCCTGAACTCGATCAACGGGAGACCACAAGGCAAACTATATTATAATGAGGGGCCAAAATTAATTTTAACATTTTTAACATGTAAAAACAATGTAAATTTAACAAAAATTTTTGGGGGGAGGGGAAGCAGCCTAAATCCGTATCTCAAAGCAAGAAATTAAATGATAGTATGTTGAAACTTTTTGATTTTATTTATAAATTATTTTTAATATTTTATTAAAATTAAAAAAAATTAAACCTCATTAATTTTATCTAAAAATTTAAGAATTTTTTAATTTTATTATAGTAAATATATATTAAAAATTAA